ATATATATATAACTGCCCTTTTCTTGGAACTGAATTGATCTGGTTTCTGGTGCACATGTGGATGTAGATTTCATCTACGTATTTTTTTAGTAATTAATACAGGATACATGACCACGTTGGGGGACCTGGATAGGGCAGTGTCTGATTGGTGTAAGATGTCCTAAGGACTTCTAAAATTTGTCATCTTTTGTCAATCATTGGCATCCAATTGATTTGTCTAAGCCCTAGTCTCCTAGTCCTTTTCCCTCTGGTCGCCCTGCGCTGTTGTTTTCGATAATTTGCTAAATTTTGAGGAAATTAAGATTTGCTTTGAAATGATTTACTATTGTGAAATTAGTATAGTAATTAAAGTTTTCTACTTTAGTTCCAAAAATAAATTTTTACACAGAAAAATCACGGCTTTCTTATAATTGATTAAGTGCAGCTTATACTTTTGCTGTGCATGGGCACATATAATTATTATGCGGCGCAGTTAATTAATGAAGGACTAATCACCCAAAAAAAAAACACTGATCATATGAAATTATTCATAGAGAAAAGGAGATTTATACCCTTTTAAATTGCATGAGTCAGATTTTTATCCCTTTTTACCCTTTATTTTTTATTAATATCCTTTTATGTTTTAATCAAATACGATATTAGTTAAAAGTGTATTAATCAAGACTAAGGGGTAAAAGTCTAGACCCATACATTTTAGAGGTAAGTTATCTGATTTTCTCTTATCGCATACAATAATTAAACCATACATGACAAAAAAATACAAACAAAAGATGTATATAATATATGTGGCAATTATCAGTGATTTATTATTACAGATAAATGATCACAGCATGCAATCTCTATATCTACTATAACTCCTGTTTTATTGATACATATAAGGAAGACTATGCCAGCCTAGGCTAGCTAAGTACTTGAAAATAAAATTCTGCATGCATACATTATGAATAATTGGCACTTTATTAGAGAGCGAGTGAGTTGATCTCGCGCCGAGATAGTGCAAATTGAATGGACGTCGTAGCTAATTATAGCTCAAACCACACTGCAAAAATCAAACACATATCATTATGTATGCATAAAGTACTCATGCTTCAATACATATAACGAACAAAAAGGGCTAATCAATTTTAAGTACTAAATATGAATACTACTATACATAAGCCATGCATGAAATTAATTAATCAATACAAACCGGTTGTCAGATTCGTTTGTCAATTTCCTGTACCGGTTGTATATGAAAATTAACCCAATTTGTTAACTGGAATTTTGCGAGACTCGATAGACATATATAATCAAGCTCCAATAATAATAAATAAATAAATTTATGGTTAATTTACTGTTTAATTATTAATTTTAGTGCTACTCCATTAAAAGTCCGAAGCTGAAATAGTCTGGATTATATATCATATTATAAAACTCACAAAACTCCATTAGTTCTGTCCATGATATTTCATTTTATGTAATATCCGCTATGGATAATTGATGTTAAGTTCCGTTTTATCTTTTCAATTATTTTATCTCAAAGTTCCATTATTCAACCATTGGAAAAATCCTTTATTTTATAACACATACAAAATAAAGAATCATTTAGTTACTGATTTAACCAAATGACCGAGGTCTCGTTATTTTCCAATTCTCGAATAATGCCCTTGAAAGGATAACATTAACTCTTCTAACAGAGTTATGGATTCCATATCTGTAAATCACGTTCTCACACTTATAAGTCATGCCTCCAACATACCGACATGGAATTCTATGTTCATCGGTGTTTCTGCATTTAGCATATCAAAAGACACAAATTATAAATATAGAATCATTAATTTACTTCAGGATTAAGATAATTACATAAATGATTATGAAAGTGAATTGATTTTAGTTAACTGAAATTATTAATAAAATTAATTACACTTTAGGTCCAATCCAATACATATCCATCACTAGGTATATAACAATATCTCTACCACAGAGTCTCCACTCCGACAGCCAAGATAAGCCATCTCCCTAATTGTAAGTAGACGCCTATTACAATCTTATCAAGAATAAAGTGTCTGTCTTTATAATTCCACAGATTGCAGACAATACATTTAGACCATTATCTTGCATCATATCTTTCCGCATATAAATCCGTATATATACATGATTCAAGATTTAGTATTAATAGTCTCGATGCTTTAGTTTGCTTTAGTTTGCTTGTTATACAATCAACCATATGAATGTAAATATTAGGACACATATTGATACATGAAATAAATGCATTATTCTTTATTGTCCTAAAATGTCATAAATACATCTAATATATTTATTCCTTACGACACCAATCTAACAATCTCCTACTTGCGTAAGCAGTAAATGTGATCCATTTCGCATCCCAATGTCGTTACCATCTCTTATTAAAAACTCATAGCCACCAGAGTTTTTCTAAAAGGATCGTCAAAGTTGTCCTTTAGATGCTGCATTGCAAATTGTCACATTACCACTCTTTGTCAAGCTCCTACTAATATGATACTCCCCATATATAAATATAAATAAATATATATATATATATATATATCCATGTTCTTGTGGTATCTTGAATTCTTGGTACTAATTATAGCCACACTATTAGTGCTATAAACATACCTATACCATGAATTACCTCAAAATTTCTAAGGAACTTGCGGAGACTAATTGCTTTCTCAAACGCTTTCTTAGCGACCACATTCAGACTTCATAGTTGAGACAGTGGTATAAGTTTATTTTACACTCTCCGCACCATGCAACCGCCTCTAAGAGTAAAACTGATCATGAAATCGACTTTCTTGAATCCTTATCCGATTAAGATCAGAGTCCATGTATTTCTCCGAATGCAAAAATCCTCCTCAAAATACACTAGCTTGAGAAAGCATTAATGATTGCAGGAAGGGCTTGACGATGATTCCTTTGAGAACTATAAAGGTGGCTTAAGGGCAAAGCTATTGGAGAAAGATCTATCCCTTACGGACGAAACCGATCGTCTGTGGGATCAGATTGTTGATCAAAGGTGTGTTTGCTTACAAACTAGTACGTTCTCTGTATGAGTGAATAAAGAGTTTTTGCCTTCAGATATGACATGCCCATTTGAAATTTGAGAACTTTGTTAAAAATTATTTGCTTCGTAGGAAACAGGATAACGAGCCAATGTGCATAGAAGCAGAGGATAATAGAAATGTTGCTTAGATGTATATTTTTTCTTTCCTTCTGTTTTAATATATGCTTTTCACCAGACACGGAGCCAAACTCACGCCAGTTAAGCCCCCACTCAAATTTTTTTCCTTTTGAATTATATATATATATATAATTAAATATTATATTATACTAGTACTAATAAGCCCCCGCTGAGATTTATGTTAATACCTCGTATGTAGGGCGTTAATAGATATTTATTTCCGTTTAGTTTCCTAATTCGAGTTGAGATGTGATGTTGTGTGAGAGTTTTTACTGTAATAAAAAAGTTAAATGTGACTGTTTTCAGAGAGTTTTTTACTGTAGTAAAACTCGAATTCTAAACTCGAATAAGCGAAAAGAACGAGATCATTTGCCGACATTGACAAAAATCTCTGGTTCCGTCGCTGCTTTTCACAGTGTTTTATTTATATTTGATTTAATTACTTACTAAAAATATCATAACTTTGTTCAATTTTTTTATTCTGTGTAATTATCTCTGAGAGGATTTGAAAGAAAGACCCAAATCCTAAACCTCCTTTAGATTTTTACTTTGAAAAAACCCATTTCATTGATTCATCAAGTGCGATTCTGGAAGATGGAAACATTGATTTGATTTGATTATTTACTCAAAAGTATTTTTTTCCCCTTGATTATCCTTAATCTGTTAACCTCAATTACCTTTAACATAAGGAATGCAAACACTCCATTTTGTCCGTTTTCGAAATCATCTCAATTCTCAGACAGAGATTTACCCATTCACTGATATGAAGCAAAAACCAAAATGAAGGAAAAGGCGCATTGCACTGATACAAATTTACCCATTCATCATCACTCATAACAATAAGGGATTGTTTTTTTAGAGTGTAACTTGAGTGTAATTTTTAAATTGAATTTGAATTATAACTTGAGTTGAAATTAGAACTTGAATAAAGTTAAGTAAAATTAACCCGTTCACTTCGCTGATTCGAATTTAGAATTCGAGTTGAGATGTGACTTTATGTGAGAACTTTTTACTGTAGTAAAAAAGTTAGATGTGATTATTTGTGAGAGCTTTTTATTGTAGAAAAATTCGAATTCTAAACTCAAATCAGCAAAGTGAATGAGATAAAAGTTAAAATTTAAAAGAACGTGAACTTAAATAAAATTAAAACTTGAGTTATTTTTTTTTTAAAATTTTTGAACAAAAAACATGCCCTAT